CTATGTCCAAACAATATCATACGTAATTAACTCAGATATACATACATGTTATCTCCAATTTCTCCTCTTTTAACTCTCAATCTCACTTACCTTCTCTATAACGTTTCTTTGAAGGCACATGAATTGAAAGTTAATAGACGACTAATTATGAGTATCATATAGATATACAGGGTGTCCCAAAAATAACCTACCAAAAATTTTTTCGTATATATTTGCTATTTTATTTAACTTTATCAACAATTTTTTTTTAAAGTTATAGATATGAATATATCGAGTTTTTATTTATCCAAACGAACTTCCACATTACTGTGTAAAATTATCATCTTAAGTGAAGATACAATAGTTTTGCTTTCGTTCTAATATTCGAGTAATTCAAAAGTTGACTAAGGTGTTTTCTTTGATATTTTCATATGGTTAGAGAGAGTTCGTCGAGTTCTACAAGAATACGTAGATTGAAAGATTTTTAAATCTTTTTTTTGAAACAAAATCTACGAGAAATTCCCACAGTAAATTAAACTAGTTGGAGAACAAAACGCTACATAATGTTTTTCTGAAAATATAAAGAAAACAAAATTTTTATATTTTTATCTAAGGTGATAGCTTTACACAATAATATGGAAGTTCGTTCGGATAAATAAAAACTCGATATATTCAGCTATAATTTAAAAAAATTTTGTTGATAAAGTTAAGGCCCCCCCACCACTCAAAAATCGATCTCAGCCCAGGAAAGTTTAAATGGGCTGAAACTTGGAGCATATGTTGGGGCTGAAGTGAGGAGGCTGTGATAAAATTTTCAGCTCGATACCCTAATGTTTGATAGAGATATGAAGCAAACAAGGGCCAAAAATAGCTCATTTGGCAATCCATTTTTCTTTGTCCAGGCTCTTTCAATGTATTTAATTTTTTTTTTGTTTGAAAGAGCATCTCAGGACGCAGTGCAGTACAGAGTCCTTTTTTTTAAATTCTTACTTTTTTAGCGAAAAAAGGGAATCACAAGTTCAATGACTCAAAAAACGCGCCAAAAATGGGTGTCTAATTACATATATGACTGTATATATAATAAAAAATAAAGCTTAATTAAAAAAAGGACTCTGTACTGCACTGCATCTTGACGTGCTCTTTCAAACAAAAAAAAATTAAAATATATTGAATGAGCCTGGACAGAGAAAAATGGATTGCGCGGTTCAGAAAGCCTAAACTGAGAAAAAACGAAAAACATTTTTCGTTTTTTTTAAAATAAGCATATTTTTCAAGAAGAGCTTAACAAAAATCATCGAAAACTTTGACCAAAAACGAGGTGCCGAAGAGAAACCAATATGATTTCTGAAAGAGCAGAAGACGGGCTATCTTCCGATGCATTTATCTCAATTTCGATAATTTTGACGAAAATTGATTTTTTTTGAGTGGGGGGGGGGGGGCCTTAAACAAAATAGCCTATATATACGAAAAAATTTTTGGTAGGTTATTTTCGGGACACTCTGTAACATGTTGCAAACAGCAACCATTGTTATAAGTGACTTTGATAGATACGTGGAAAATTCAAAAACTTTGAATTTCTTCTTCTACTTGATTATGTCAAATAAAAATATTTTTTGATGTATCCCGTTTGTCATGTGAAAAACACGTTTGCTATAATGAACTGTCAAATATGTTCTGCTATGCATATAGTGTATTTTATAAAAAAGATACTTTTGTCGTAAAATGTTCTTTGTAGCTAGAATAAAGACTTTTTTGTTGTACTAGTCCTGAGAAAGCTAAAGAAATATTTAGGGACAACTAGTGTTCATAAAAAAAGACGTTTATGAAAACTATCCTTCAGAATAGCAAAAAAATCACTTTTCTAAGGGACATATTAGAAGACCCCCCCCCCCCCCCTTACGACTTGCGAGCGACAGGACAGATTAGAAGACCCCGGGTCTTCTAATGTATCAATGGCTTTAGTACATTAGTCATATCGATCCTTCGGGAAGAGGCTTCTAATAACGGGAGGGCTTCTAATGTGGGAGAGGGTTAAAGGTATTTGAAATATTTTTAATTTTTTGTGTATAAATGCATATCAACAATACATGCATAGAGATGTATATCTCCAAGTCATGAATACAAATACGAATTTTAAGGTTTTCCAGTAAAACATACGAGATCATGCATGACTTTAATATTTGCAGATACTTGCATACACTGATCTTGCATGTTCATGCAAGATATATGACTCGCGTGAAAATGCCTATGTATCAGCTGTGTCTAACCGCAAAATGATGAAATCTCTTCGAAACTCTGCATGCAAATGCAAAAGAATCCTATTTACGAAAATGAATAGTGAAGCGATTCTGCATTGACATGCAAAATTTGATTATTTTGTAGTATACATGCTGCTCAATGCAAGAATTTAGTTTTTCCATCGGCGCATATTTATTTATTTCTCGTAAAAATGCAATAGATCTTCTATAACCACACCATATTGGCTCAAAGAACTTGTTCAGTTTTGTGAAATTCTTCATAGTTATTAGCATTCATGTACATGCATGTCCGAAAGTTATCGAATGATCATTATGTCCTTCAGTTTTCATTATATATCTAATGTAAGTAAATGGTCAAATGGTGAAGCAGTTCGTCTTAAAAAGCAAAGTATGTATGTTCGAATCTTATCTCTTGAAAACAAACTTCTGCATGTTAATGTATATATGCGACATGCGCTTCCTTTTTTAGCCATTCTAATATTGTCTTGCATGAACACGCAAAGAGTTTCTACAAAAGCACTCGTATGTCCCCGCATGTGAAAATATTAAGCATACAGATATGGAAACTTTCATGCGGGTATTCGCGAATATAGTGTACTCTGTGACGCATTCACACGCGTGCTAAGTCATGATGATTCATGCATGTGCATGTATCTGTAATATTGGGTTTACACGCGTTTTTTAAGCTTTAGCGATTGACTGAATAATTAAATAAAAAAAAAACTTCTTGTATATGAGTTATTCGAAGAAACCAAGTGATCTCGCAATTCATAATCTTGAGAAGTAAGTATTTATTTCAACAGATGGTTATAAACACTCTCATAACTGTAAGATTTCTATCTCTAGAATATTTCTACATTCGTAATATCAGTTTTCAATATATCATAGAGGTCTTTTTCCTGGCTAAAAAAAAGAGTTAATCAGCTTAACCCTTTATCTCTCGAAGTGGTTCCAGATGAATCACTGATAAAATCATCACAGAAATAGAATACTAGCCTTCCCAATATGCTAATAGTATAAGCTGATCTATTAGGGTGGGTGTGGGTGTACGTGATAGTCTTCCATCCACATCCTACATTCACACCCGCAAAAAATGACTTACATATTTTATATATGAAAGCATAAAATAGTTTTGATTTCGACTATGCCAATGCAATGCTTTTCTATCTTGAAGCAAAGTCGTTTCACTTTTCTAGCTTTTTGATATTAAGAAATACCACGTTATTCGTTGAAAATAATATTTTTTCTTTATTCGAAATCCAGAATTTTGTCATAACTCTCTTAAATGCAAAAGTTTCGAAACTGATATTGATTTAAGTGCATATATAAATATTATATCAAGTTGTAATGATTTTCTAGGCTTTCTATCGTCTTTGTCGTATTGTGTATTCAAATCATAGATGGTTTCAATTTTACTGGCTTTATGTCAGTGCAATACCTGTTCAATTAGTAGGAGCTTTTATTGTTTTATGTCCTCTTTTGATCTGGCATGATATCATATATTTACCTAACGAATATTATTGTTTTGCTCCATTCACAAAAGTTCGTGGTTTTCTTTGGCTTCCACTTATTGCTTATGGATCACCTCTCTTACTTTTATCTCTTATATATCTTCGTATTACAATATTTATTCGTCAACAACCCAATAATCAAACATTGATTGTAAACCAACGACAACAACGAGATCTGGCTGCTATTCAACGAATTTTTATTAATGTTGCTCTATTGGTGGTTTGTGGAACTCCATGTGTAACCCTTCTGTTAATGTACCTCATCACTGGTATTGAACATCCATTAAGCTATCGTATTACGTGGGCTGGACCCGAAGTGTCCATGGCAATATTAAGTGTACAAATGATATTTATGACACCCCAATTGAAAAATATTATTATAAGACGACGACAAAATCGTGTGACTACTTTAGATATTACAATTCAAATGAGGGCCATTGCTACTAATCAATGATTGAATTATCGATTACTATTGCAAGACTGAACTTTATATTTCCTTCATGAAACAATTTATTTATCTCAATTGAAAACTATCTTCTGTTTATTTCTCAATAATTATAATATCTTATTGATGTATTTCTTTATTTTATTTGAAATTAAATATAAAGACTAAAGGCAAACGAAATCTACTGATGAATTTTTGACAAAATGCAATAATTATCTCTGTTTAGAATAATATATAGTTATTTCTTAGCTGAGAAATCTCATATAAATTTTAGATAACTGTTTTTTCTTAATTTAGAAAGGAGACTAATAGCACTTTTAATGTAAAAAAGAATTCAGTCGAATTAAAGGCAAGTGCTAGAAGATCTGCCTCATTGAAAGAGTTCTTAATAAATATAATTTATCATCAAATTCAAAAAGTGTTCTAATAAAAGCTTAGATATAGTAATGCATGGAGTAAAACTAAAATTTTTAATCTACTAACATCACAAATTGTTTCTTTTCACCAGAAGCATTAAAAAATTTGTGTCTATTTTCAATATAAAGATAATACAAGTGCGTTTTTCTTATTCTGTTCTACAATATTTACAATCAAAATAATTAAAAAACACAGCATGGAGCAAAAGTGTCCTTTTTTCTTTCATAAACAGAAGAAAAACAGAATTATCTTATTATCGAGATTTACATTTTTTACAATATGTATTTAGATGTAAACAAAACACAAAAAAACACATTGTAATATTTATCCAAATGGCATTGAACAATCATGCACAATATGAAAAAGAAGAAAATAATCATTCTATTAGAGATCTTCGATTTAATAGTGGTCATGTTCTTTTTACTTATATTAATTCTCTGAGAATCAATATACTTTATAAAGTACACTTTTTAAAGTTTATTAAATTTTGCATAGCTCACGAACACAAAAAGATATCGAGATGCAGTTTGTTGTATGACACGGAAGAGACTTCTGCGCATACATCTATATAAGAATTGTAGTTCAAATATAGTCACCAAGATGATAAGCCTGATGAATTTTTGGTACATTCCATCTAGAAGAAGTGTGGATAATATGATTTCGTGGTTCCAGAAATATTTCAATTTTCCACGTTGAAATCCAGTTAGGAGTGATTTCTAAAGATTGATTTTGTGATAGCTCTCTATCAAATTTTGGTCCACATCCGTATCTTTCTATAAGGATGATCAAAATACCTCTTCGCCATCCACGTAGGGGATTATGGATATGGCCCGAAAAGGATGTTAAAGAGTTTTTAAAAGCCTTGATGAAAATATCAACAATACACACTGCTCATATTAATTATAAAGTCTCAAAGAAACTTCGTCCGTTGGTTGAGCAATGATCCTCAAAGGGTTGGATGTGGGTGTGTATGGGCGACAGTGGCGACTATGGTTATGGCGACTATTTGGATTATACTATATCACACCCACTCCTTCACCCGCACATCCACATCCATTTGTTTTTGAACCATCACTTGTTATACTATTCTAGATGGATTTAAGGTGATCAGTCATAAT